TGTTTTTTTTTTTTTATGTCTGTTGCCACTTTTTCTCAGCTCTCACTGGACCGATTTCTTTCAAAAATACGTCAAAAGATCACAAATCGTATCTTATTGGAGACATTACCCTTAAAAATTAAAAAAAATTCCCTCGTTCCCCGCAAATGAGGGAAATATGCAAAAAAATTACAAATTTAAAAATCGACAAATTTTGTAATTTTTTCACTTTTTTTTTTTAAAACTTCCATAACTTTTTGAAAAATCAACAAATCAACATAATTTTTTTTTATACTAAAACCTTAAATATTTCCCTTTTATTTGATATCATTTTTTTGAAAATCTAACACTTAACCTGCTCATTGGGAAAGATTTAAAATAGCAACTTTTTTACAAAAACTAACATTTTCAACTTAATTTTTGAAAATGTTCCGGAAATACTGCGTCCTTTAAACATGTATCAAATTGAAGCTTATTTTATGTACTATAATTTACTTTAATGAAAAAAAAAAATTTGTCCCGACACTTTATCTTCTGCATAAAACGGCTGCCGTAGTTAAAAAAACACTATTTTTGTGTTAAAATTTTCGATTATAAATTTTCAACTTAAAAGTGCTATAACTTTTAGAAAAATGTAATTATCAGCACAAATTTTTATTTTCTATATACATTATAAGTATGTCTTTCATTTGACATACTTTTTATTAAAATTGGACAATTTCCCCATATATAAAGGGCGTTCAAAACTTGAAATATTATATAAAAAATAAAACTTTTTCAACTTAACTTTTAAAAGTGTTCCAGAAATACTGCGTCCTTTAAACATATATCAAATTAAAGGTTATGTTATATACTATCAAATGAAAAAAAAAAAAATTTGTCCCGACATCTTATCTTCTATGTGCAAATGGCTGTCGAAAATTTAAAAAAAAATGTAATGTTTGCGATAAAAATTACATTTTATCGGGATGTTTTTTGTACTTAAAACTGCCATAACTTTTTCAAAAATGAACAAATAAAAATAATATTTTTTTGTATTGAAACCTTAGATATTTCCCTTTCATTTGATATAATTTTTTTTGAAAATCTAACACTTATTCTGCTCACTGGGGGGATTTAAAATAGTAACTTTTTTACAAAAAATAACTTTTTCAACTTAATTTTTGAAAATGTTCCGGAAATACTGCGTCCTTTAAACATATATCAAATCAAAGATTATGTTATATACTATCAAATGAAAAAAAAAAATTTGTCCCGACATCTTATCTTCTATGTGCAAATGGCTGTCGAAAATTAAAAAAAAATATGTTTGCGATAAAAATTACCTTTTATCGGGATGTTTTTTGTACTTAAAACTGCCATAACTTTTTCAAAAATTAACAAATAAAAATAATATTTTTTTGTATTGAAACCTTAGATATTTCCCTTTCATTTGATATAATTTTTTTTGAAAATCTAACACTTATTCTGCTCATGGGGGCGATTTAAAATAGTAACTTTTTTACAAAAAATAACTTTTTCCACTTAATTTTTGAAAATGTTCCGGAAATACTGCGTCCTTTAAACATATATCAAATTAAAGCTTATTTTATGTACTATAAAATAAAAAAAAAAATGTGTCCCGACGATCTATCTTCTATGCGCAAATGGCTACCATATTCAAAAATATGCTATTTTAACAAATTTTTTTTTTTAATTTAACACTATCTACAGATTTGCATCGAAGCGTTTCTTATGATAGTGATTTTAATCACTGTCAGATTAAATCTATACTGGACCCTACTATGCAATGTCTCCACTATGCCGCGACCCCACTGTGCTACCGTTTTNCCGACTATGCCACGAACCCACTGTGCCGCCACCCCACTGTGCTGGGTTGTTTTTTATTTTCATACTAAATGTAATAATTATAATTAGTATTTTATTCATATATTATATTTTAAAATCAAAGAATTACTAATTAGGATATTATCAAAGAAATAAGAGTTGATGTTACTTTTGGAATAATCCACCAATTTCTCTAAATGAAACACTATCTATAGATTTGCATCGAATCGTTTCTTATGATAGTGATTTTAATCACTGTCAAATATCATCTATACTTATCCCATCTATGCCTTGTCTACACTGTGCCTTGACCCCACTGTGATACCGTTTTTTATTATAAAATTATAAATATTCAATAAAAAAATCTCATGGAAAACACGTTAATGCCACATTTCATTTAAACAACTTTTTTCTTTTATAAAAATAAATATTTATAATTTTATGTATTTTTTTTTTATATAAAAAAAAAATATATATATTTTTGTTTTTATTGTATATACATTGAGGGGAGGATGTAGTGTACACTCTCTACATTAATCTCGTTGTTATCAGTTGCTGACCGGCATTCGACGAGACCGGGTGGTGTTGTGTGTTCTTATATTGTAATGTTATTCTTTTAAGAACTTGTGTATATAATTTATTATAATTTAAGAGTAAAAGGATCTACAACACTCTTACGTGATCAATAATTTTTTTTACTAAAAATGTTACTATTAGAAGAATTTTAAGAAAAAAAAAAGGTCATCGAAAATAATATTGATTATAAAACTGTTAACAGATTTTCATTAGCTCCCTCTCTTCTTAAATAAAATTCTTAATATGCGTTTGCTAATAATTCATGATATTTGCTATACAGAGTGCTCAGTAAATCAGGAAATGGGTTTCTATTATTAGTAACAATTAACCTGATTACTTACTTTTTGAACACTCTATATAATTAGATATTTTTTATTTTTTTATTTATTTGTTTATAAACATTTAACGGGCATTAGCCCTTTATATATATATATATATATATATATATATAAGACATATTGACAAATTACATAATGACAGACAAACAGTAATGAATAAGAATAAGAACATATTAAAACTATTTATAAAACACCGAAAATACAATTTATAAGAATAACATAAAATAACTAATATTTGATGTGCCTGCAAAATATTTTTTAATGGCCTTAGGGTGATCCAATAAAAATTATTTTTTAATTTCAATATTGGCTCCCTAAATTTTTTTTTTAATGCAAATCAAATGATCTAAACAAAATTTGTAACTAAATTAAAAAATAGTATAATCACCATTTGAAATATGTACATATTTACAAATATGTACATCTTAGAATTTAATAACAAGCTCTCGTTAGTAATTTTTAATATAAAATTACTTCAAGTTACCACGAAAATAAAGGAGCTAGAAAAAATATATATAGAAATTTGAAATCAGTATGGAAAAATTATTCAGTTTTACCTTATTTTTTTTAATTTTGAAAAAAAATTTCTTTTTTTTTTATTTTATGTTTAATTTTCTCTCTCTGTCAAGATTATAATTAAGATTTTGATACCCAAATATTTGTGTTGGCTTTTAAATAAATACACTTTTCTAACTTGTTCTCTAAAAAGCAGTTAAATGATTTTATTATTTTAAATACAAACCGAAGTAATCAGACGTGTATTGAGGGTAAAAAAATCACAAGCAGTTAATTCCATAGAGTTGTTTGAAATTTGATTAAGAAATAGTTGTATCTTAAAATAAAAAAATTAAAGTGATTAGTAAATAAATTTTCATGGTAAAAATGGCTATACAAGGATAAAAAATTAAAATTAATATACTATAAAAAAAACAAACCTCTTCTTTTGTGATGTTATCTAAATATCTGTTATTTAAGTCTGCTAAAATCGTTTTTGTTTTATGAGCCTATATTAAATAAATAATAATAAATGATATAAATAAAATTAGTAAATTCATAACAGAAGCGCTTAGAAAAGCTAAAATAGTGTATTAAGTTATAGAGAATGAGTCGAGTATTAAATTTATAAATTACTATAAATTAAGTCAAATTCAATTTTTTTTTATAGCTATAGCTTTGTGGTATATGCTGTAACAATACATGGCGTGGTAACATAAATTAATTAATCGGTTCTTATAGTCCTAACGAATTGTATAGACAACTCATAAACTTTAACAGTAACAATGGAAACTATCTAACAAATATATATTTTTCCGATCTACCAAATAATTAAGATAAAATGGACTGAATCAGGAATGGACAAGGTTAACGGCAATGGGAGTGTGATCTGGTTTTGTTATAGAAATTCCATAGAAGGGGGATTATTCGACAAGCAGTGAGCTGTAATGATAAGCATTTTTGCGGAATAAAATTTAACTTAAAATTTTTCTCTTCTATGGGAAGTTTATAACAAAATCGGATTGCCTTAAGGCTTCGTGTACAGTCCATTTGATACTAGTTCGTGATTCCGTTTGAAATGCAAATATGATTGACAAAAAGTAAACACGATTACAAGCAACTCATAAGTTTCAATTTTCTTTGAAGACTTGCAACAAATATTTTTTAACATTTATCATTTAAATTATTAACACATTTTTTTATTTTGTACAATAGACTTACCTGTTTTGTTGTTACATGCGCAATAAGAACAATTGTGACAAATCTAAATGAATATTGAATAGACCAGCCATAAACGAAAATAAACGATTTTGAAGTATCATTTTCTCTAAATGTTTCGGAATAAATGTCAAAAAGCATCATAGCACAAAGCACACATATTGATAATCCTAATTGAACGCTGTATAAATTATTCAAATTACTCACAGCCGTTCTTATAAACTGATGTCTTATTCGAAGTCGTTCTATTTCGCAGCCTAACGAAAAATGAACTTGAGGACGAAATGTTTTTGTATAAAAAACGTTTATTTTTTTTTCATTCAATAGTATAGAATTTTTTAAATGTCAATCTGATCGTAATACGTTAGGGTAATTATTTATTTCAATTATTTTGGATCGTAATATGTCCATATCTTCATTAATAAGTTGAAAATGTTGTTTGAGTCCATAACACATTTGAATAAAATTAATTTCAGTCAAACACATTGTAAGGTTTTGCAAATATAAATATGAAAAAAATAGTACAATAGTGTAGTTGCCTTTCCATTGATAACGGCATATCAAGTACAAACGATAAAAGTTAAATGGAATTATAATGATTAAACACATTGACAATGTAACTATTGAAAAGATTCGATTCCATTTAGCTTTAGTAGCAGTAATTGGTGAAAATAAATTGTAACGCTCCAGTTTTCTGTAGTACTTGCGAAAATCGGAAATATTCTTGTACATCATCGTTACTCTGGATATTATACATGCAATAGCTAGTGTTTGAAAGAACATAGAATGAACTATTTTAGCCATTGGATCATAACAATATAAATCTAATTGGCACACGCAATAAGGTGTCATTACATAATTATGAATACATGTAACTGCTAAAAATGTAGAGTAAGCAAAGTAAAATTTGTTTAGCTGAACATTTCTTGTTATAAAAGAAGGCATATTTTATCCTATTTAATTGAAAAAATTTTATTTTATTAATTATAACAATTTTATAATCAATTACAAAAAATTTTTAACACAAACTTATATTAAACTAAAACAGGAGTCGAGAATTCAACCACTACACGATTGTTAACTATAGGTTTTTTAGTTATTCTTTAAAACGATTAAAATTTTTAATTCTACATGATATATGTTTTTTAATAATTCAGAGAATCAAGTGTTTGTTTAACTTATGAGTACTTATTATTTTTTTAACAGTTAAGACATGTTTAACTTGCTTCAATTAAAATTGATCGATAATTGTAACTTCATATCAGACGGTTATGTTTCGTATGTTGATGTGACAGTACACAAATAAACTTTGAGACGTTACCCAATAATTATGTATGGTCAAAAAGTTTTTAAAAATATATCTTTAATTATTTTAAAAGTGGTGAATCAAGAGTTTGGAAAAGTTTAAGGCAGTCATGATGTTTTTAATATTATAATGACTGGTTGATATGTCGGGTGACCCAGGATTTATTATTTTATAATCCATACTGTTTGTTCAAAATTTAAACATTTTCAATTAGTTATTCTTTTTTAGAAAAATAACTAAGGGGAAAATTTTTATAATTTTACCTATTGTGGAAATTATAAACATACTTTATATTTAACATTAGCATTGGCATATTCAAAAATACAAAATAAAGTGGGAGCACAAATAAAATTTTAATTGAATTTTTTTTAGATTTTTTAGAGAAAAAAACCTAGCACAGTTGAGTCGTGGCAAAGTGTAGATTCTGCAGAGTAAGAACAAATATACATGATATCTGACAATGATTAAAATCATTAGTATAAAAATTAATTCATATAAATTATTTTTCACATATTCTCTTAAAGAAAATTCATAGAACTTTCACTTTTTTTAATGATAGTCCTAATTTTTAAAAAGTTTTATCATGATATTAATTTTAAAGTTATTTGACAAGTTTGTAAAATGCAGAAGTTTTTCTAAACAGCCCCAGATTAACAAAAATGACTGGATCATGTAAAAAAGTACAAAAGGGAAATACCTAAAAATTTATATACAAAATAATTCTTTGATTCATTAATTTTTCAAAAAGTTATGGTTGTTTAAAAAAAAAAATTAAAAAACGTTAAAATTTATAGGTTTTAAAAATTAAAATGTATTAGGGGTATCCCATATTTACCGGAATCTAAAGAATTTTTTCTCTAAAGTTTTCATGAGAAATGTCTTCAAATAAATACGATTTGTGATCTTTGACGTATCGTTGAAAAAAATTGGTCTGGTGAGAGCAGTAGCGACAAACATAAGAAAACGCATCATTGTAAAATTAATAAATTTGCAACTTCGCATTAAAGCTAAAAAATACATATATTTTGGTATTTTCATAATATTGCCTATTGAGGGATAAACTTCCTTCTAAATATGCAAGTGAACATTAAAGTATAAAGATGAAAAGTTTACACATGAAAAAGAGGGTGTTATATATAAGAAAATTTTCATAAGACCCTCGAAATTTATCTACAATATATTATTATTTTCATCGTGGAGAAGGTGGTTAGCCCTTGTAACCCTTTTGAATATAACTGTTTCTCTAGAATTTTGTTCACGCATCGCCACTGGTATACCATAAATTTAACTTAAAAAAATTGTTAAAAAATGTTTTGAAATATTAGCTTCAAATTTTACACTTCAACACGTTTGTGTATACATATATAGTGTTGTAAATGTAAGTTTGAGTCATCAATTAGACAAAAAACTAAACATTTTTTTTTCAATTTATTAGATCTATAATAAAATTATTGTTAGTGCACCCAAAAATAGAATAAACAATTATAATAACTGAAGTCATTATATAATTATTATTTAATTACCGGGGTCATTTTTCACATGTTTTTTAGTAAATCGAAACGTGACCGATTAAACAAGAACTTCTAAAAAGTCTGATATTTGAATTATCGTAATTTTATTAAAGATAATTTAAATTAGTATACAATTTTTCAACTAAATCCTATTAAATTATAAAATTTACTTATAAATTTTTTAAAATTGTTTTACCTAATATGAAAATATATATTGAATAGGGAAAAGGCACCAGTCATTTCCATATTAACTAGTTTCTGACAATCTTTTTTGATACATCATAAATAAACCATAAAAATTATAAATATTTTTAATTAACTCTGGACTTATTAAGAAAACTAAAGCCTACTTGTCAAAAATTAAAAAAGATTATTTGACATTAAATTTAAAAATTACAAAAGATTGGAGAAATACTTATGACCGGTGCTATTGTTCTATATGAATTTTCATTTTAATAAAATTTCCAAAAAATACAAAATAACAAAGTATATAACAAAAATTTAATATAATTTTAGCTTCGATGCGAAGCTGAGAAGGTATTAATTTTACCATGATGTGTTTATTTTTTTATTTTTTTATTTTTTTATTTTTTTTTTTTTTGTGTCTGTCACTACTTTNCATATAAAATGAATCAATAAATTTAAGCCATATTCGTGTAAATATTATTTATTATTATTTTACATAAATATTATATTTTTAGTTACAGATAATGATTGTATAATGCATTCATAAAATTGTAAGCATGAATACAACAATTAAAATTTTTTTTATGATTTTCTCGTAACGTCATGAGAATTTAATCGAAACTGAATTAACATGAATAGATAAGTAATACCGACTGTAATAGCCTAAAAATAATAAATATTTTATTATATTAAATGTGTTTGTCAATTTAAAAAACTTTTAAATTATGAAACTTATTTCCTTACATTGCACTTTAAGTTATAAAGTATTTTAAGAAATTAATAAATAAATGAAATAAATGAGTAGTTTTAAAATATTATACCCAGCAATTTCTTTTTCAGTTTAGAATTTTTTGGCAATAATTGAAAATTTAGAAAACTGAATTTTTTAATAGAATATGAATTATAGCTATATGAGAATGGTTCACCTACATTACAATTTTTTAGATTTGAGTAAAATTATTTGTTTAAACTTTATTTTGTGGAATATAAGTTAAGTTTTTATATAAAATAAATTTTTTCAAATAAAGTACTTTCTAAGTTATTTTCGAATACCATCTGATATACCAATAATATAATATGAAAGAAATAACAATTTAAGAACTATAATTAATATATTTTAAAATATTTTACAAACTGTGTATTATATATTATGTAAAATATATTATTTATTATATCCTTTGTAAGGAGGATTTTAAAAATCAATGTCAAGAAAGTCACATTTAGTAAAACTAAATGAGATTTTTTCTTTATAATAATAGGCATGCTTGCATATATTAAAAATACGGTAAATTTTTTTTTTATTTGAAATTTAAAATTTGTTTTGTATTTTAACAATAAATGATAAAATTTGATATATGATTTATTGTTTCATTCTTATTTATTCGCGCGTTATGTTAAAATATGTCTATTAAGTAAATATACCATTAATAATTAATTACTTCAAAAATGATTCATTTTTTTTTTTTTTTTTTAAATATTAATAATTTAAAAGTTTTAATATAAAAAAATTTTACACAAACAAACTAAGTAATTTTAGGTAATTATATCACAAAAACAATAGCCAATTATAATATTTTTTGTTTTCATAGTAATAATCGATTTTAATATCGATTAAATAATTAAATAATCGATAAAATTAATTAATTACTTTATTAAATCTGGAGCTATTTAGTAATTACATAAAAAGAGAACTGGGGGTCTAGCCTCCTAATTTATAAATAAGCCCTTTTAAAATATTTAAAAATTAATATTAATTTGTTTATGAAAATATTTTAACGATGGGAAAATATATATTACATATCTTTGCAATTTTTTTTAAAATTACGATTAGAAAGTTGTCCATGCGTAGAAATGGCTCTCGTAATCTCGTAAAAGATCTCTAACGCCCATATTGACCTAATTCCGGCTTTGGTAATAGGATAAATAATATCAGTAAAATACGTTCAAGATGTACGCCATTTGGTTGATTGTAAAAAAACTTGGGACTATAAATAAAATTAGCTTATAACACAAAAATTGTATGAAAAATAATACATATTACTTTATAAAAAAAAACTATAAAATGAGAAAATTAAACACTCCCAAAAATGATCTTCAAACTCCTTAGAGTATATATCATAACATACATATGGAATAGTCATATATCTACGAGAAGTTACTGCATCTAAAAGTAAATCTGAGCGGGAGGAAAACCGTTAAGAAAATTATTAATAAACGAAAAACAGCAAGTTATTTCTATTATCTCTAAATAAATGACGAATTTGTTATTCGAATAACTACAATTAATCTAGATAACTTTTTTATTATCTATTCTCGAACTGATTGTCATAGACCAACGATATTCCACAGCTTTAAACATAAAATTTTAATAAAATAATCGGAGTCGTGAAGAAACATTTAGATAAAATTAAAAAGAATGCCCAAGGATCAAATAAGTACTTAAAACAATTCTATCCAAGCTAAAATTGTTTGTTACAATTTTAAAGTTTTTCACGCTATTGCTTTGTTGAGTCATGTTTGTCTAGTTGTTTTAAGATTTCTTCGATAATATTAAATATAATTTCAAATTCGTATTATTTTATTTTACTTATTGGTTTGTATTTATATATATATATTGATTTTTTTGCAATATTAGTTTTATTATTTTTTTTTATATTAGTTATTTTATAAAGTTACTAACACAAAATTGATATACCATATAATATATGGTATTAAGCATTCAATACAATATATATATATATATATATATTATACATATATAAATTTTATATTTATACATATATGTACATTAAATATTAAATAAAAGTTAAATATTATTTACTGATGTTATAAGATGAATATTTAAGTTAAAACAATCGTAAGCTTTGAAATCCAGTGAAGAATTATTGATCTGAGATAGAAATAACTGTAACTGAAATAATAATAATAATAATAATAAATTTATTAATTTTTTAAAAGATAATAAAATTAATGAAATTTTTGTCTTTTACAACTTACAATTTTCAAGTATAAGTTTTTTTTACACTTTTGAAGCTCAATAAGAGCCATAGCAGCCTATCTCCATGAGAAGGTTCCTTAACCCATTAAGTCCAAAGTTTTCTTTTTTGTATTATTATTTTTTTTTATACATATGTTAAAAATAGTATTTAAAACAAATAATATTAATAATTTTTTTTTGTTATTATGACCTAATGATGAGATATTTAACGTTACCATTTGGATACGCGAGGACTTATGAATTAACTATGAATATTCCAGAATGGGTGGTTAGTCGGTAGCCGGACAGAGAGATGGCGACTCCAACAACTGAATTGAACTCTCACTCATCATATGGAGTCGCTTGTAACCAAATAATTGTATCAAACAAAGAGAATATATATTTATCTCTCAAAGAAATACCCTATTACCTATTTAATGTTTTTTCTAATATTATTGTAATATTTGCAAATATTGAACTGGCGAGAATAAAGTAGATAAAAATATCATACATTAATATTGAATATGGTAAACAAAAAATCACTATTGTTAGTATGATAATGTGTGATAACCATTTTTTCGAAGACAATTATAAGTAAAAAAAAAGCGAAATAAGTAAAGCGAAATAAGACCAAGATTTTAATAGTCTTGTTCTTGCTAACTCAGTATAAATCTTACAATCTTGTTAGTCTTGCTTTAGAAATTTTAATTTTTGTCTCGACATTGATATTACAGCAAAGACTTATTATTTTTATCATTTTTTTTTTAAACTTATTAAGCTTTTTAAAAAGAGACTTCTTATTTAAAAAGGTTAAAAAAATGACTATATCACTAGTGTCGATTTCGTTACTTCATTATTTAAAGTATATAAAGTGTCAGAAGTTGACATTAGGAAATTAAAGGGCTTCAGTCCCCCTAAAATTTTTAATAGTTCTCCAAAGTCATAATTTTTTGTATTAAGAGATGCTAGTTACCAGTCATTTACTATATTAATAACAATTTAGATTAGGACATAATATACCCTAATATTATAATATTATTAGACTGTTATTTTTTTAAGTAAACCAAACCTTAACATTTGAAATAATTAAGAGATCGGTTTGATAACATATCAAGTTTTTAATATAAAATACTCATATATATGATCTCAGGTTTTAAATGTAAAATACTGTGTTAGAACTTATACATTTTTTGAATAATTGACTAAAATATGTCTAATTAGTTTGTCAAGTGTTTTAATCTATATGTACATACTTCATATTTAAAATTGTTATCCAGATATCGGTTATTCATATCAGTGATAAGTATTTTTGCCTTGAGTGCCTAAAACATGCATAAAATAGAGTAGAAGGAATGTTATAACTTTTTTAAGCGTAAATAAAAAAAGCAAAATATAAATAAATTAAACAAAATATGTGAGTAAAATTGAAGTGTTTATTTTAAAATTACTATAAAAATAAAATTTAATATTAGATTAAAAAAAAGTAATTACAATTTTTCTCGGTACGTGTGAATCGAAGAATTATTTTTTTAATCATTATTTTATGTATAGAATGTGACAATAAACATCTTTGGTTAATATATGATATGTAAATTTTAGGGAAATCTACAATTATTTGGAATAAATGAGAATAATTAATTATATTCCCAAACAATTAATTGTTTCAATATATAAGGCAATAACTATTGGACTATTAAAAAAACTCATCAACACACGTTATATAGTCAACAAAATAATTCAATTTGGAAATGAATATTGTATTTTCAAAAAGACTTAAAGCTTACATGAAAAATATTACAAAGACATAATATTATATGATTATTTAATTAAAATAATAATAGTGTTTATTTTAACGTAAATTTTTTCTAAACGTACCTCCTGGATTGTATAATGGGCTATAATATTGATTAATACAAATCTAAAAACAGATTGGAAAAGCCATCCATAAAATATCAATTTTGATCTGGTTACTGTTCCACTTGCATGAAAGTTTTCGTTATACATGTTAAATAAAATCATTACACTTAAAACACATAATGAAAGTCCTAACTGTATATCGAATAAGTTGTTCAGATCGTTGATAGCAATGCGAATAAAACCATGTCTAATTCGAAGTATTTCCAATGAATAGGCCATCCCTAAGTTATTGACAGTTTTTTTCTTAATAACTATTCTATTGTTCAAAGTCTTAAAATCGTTAGAACGCAATGCAATAGGGTATTTATTGTCTACCATTATTTTAGATTTTAAAAGCCCTAACTCTTCATTTATAATGCATAATTTTAAATAAATTGAGAAACTTATGTAAATAAAATGTGATTCCATACAACATATACTTAAACTTTGTACGTATCCGCCAATAATTGCAATATTTGTAATACTCGGGTTGTACTTATATATCAAATATAGTCGTGAAATATTAATTGGAATTATAATTATCAAAAAAAATGCTATCATCAAGCTTAAATACAATTGAAAACGATAGTGGTAAATAATTTTCATTGGCCATCGCTGATTATATGCATCATTGTTTATTCTGTAAAATTTTAAGTATTTTTTCACTTTATAAAACATAATTAATCTAGAAACTAAACTTGCACAGATTAGCACTATTGTATAAATTCTACGCAATGCAATAGACAGTTTATCATCACACCATCCATCCAATACACAAACGTCTATAGGGTTTATATAAAAAGTAATTAAACAAGAAACGCACAGTAAGATTGAAAACAAAATTTGATAATTATTGTAATTTAGTTCTAAAGAAAACATTCCACATATTTTCCAATAATTAGATATTATCCACATTAAATTCAACATAATTATTAAAGTAAAAATCATGTGAGTATTTAGTATAAAAATGATTAAACATGTTATATTTTTGTAATAGAATTGTGTTACTTCAGCCTATTAAAATTAATAATCACCCTTGATAAATGTCAAGCAAATTATTGACAAGTTATCAAAAATTATAGAGAGTTACATTAATAATACTTTTGTTACTTGTATACACACATTTTTTATTCATAGGTAAACAAATTATTTTAAATGTACAAACTTCATTATAATAATGTGTTAAATATTAAGTGCACTATTAAGTTAAAGTGTTAAATATTTCAAACTAGATATGTAAATTTAGTTAAATTATTTGACAAATTACTTGGCTAATGAGAAAAATTATATTTAAAATTATATGTCTTACTTAAAAATACACTACGTGCTCAAAAAATAATGTAATACTTATTTTTAGTAAATTTTATTTTGTAGACATAACTTTTAATCTCTGAATCAAACAATGTACTTATATTACGAATAATTAATTTAAAACTATACAGTATTTTTACACATAAGAGGTTTTCCATGCCATTCTTAAAACTATTAATACTGTATTAATATAGCTTATCAGCTATGGTGTTATCCAATTTTTATTGTTTATTGTTATTTTATTAATTATAATTAAATTATTCCTGTATAATATCTATATATAATTACTGGTCATAAATAATTTAGAAAAGTAGATGTTGTACCTTCACATGGATCCTTAGGTGATTAGTACTATTATTACATCTACATATACAATCAAGTGCATAGTTTTATGAATGTCTATGATGATAGCAAATAAAATGACATAAAGCTGGTGACCAAACATTCCTGGACTTTTTGATCTTAAAAAAACCTTTTAAGAGTTATTTAAATGATGACAGAGCGTCTAAATATAAGAAAATTCAAAGTCCAAAAAAAATTTTCCAAAAAAAAAATCAATTTTTCTATCTATCATCAACTGGTGATAAAAAAGGCTCTAATAATAATTTAAGAATAGTACAAATAAATGTCGAGGGATTTTAAAGCATAGATAATTAGTCAAACTTTCAATAATGCTTATGTATTGATTCTACAAGAAACCCACGTTCCTATTCACCAAACCAATCATTTAAAAATTAATAACTTTCAGCTAATAAATATTTCATATCACACAAAACAAGATATATAAAAATATGCTAGCTACATATAAAAATCAGTACTAGCATCTTAGACACGTATTCATTACCGAAGGCAAAGAATACTCCATTGGAGTTCATATAGGCAAATTTAAGTATTTTTAACATATAGAAGCCGCCTTTTGAACACGGGTATCTCAAGTTCTTCCAACTAGAAACCTTCCAGCAGTGTATATAGGTTATTTTAATTCGCATAGCACTAAGTGGGGGGATACAGAAGTGATAATGATGATAGTGAAAAGCTCTTAGACTTGGTAAATATTAGGGTTTGTCAACGATATATTTTTTGATATCGTTATCGTACCGAATTTCAGCGATATCACATATTCATATGAATAATATTGAATAATATATTGAAAAATTAAACATAATATTAAAATTTTTTCATGCATTTTTTTTTATTTTCGAGAATACCGTTAAAGTACCATTGTTGTAAAAATCAAACTATGGTATACTAACCAAATCTGATGATATTGATATCAAAAAATATAGATAAGCTATATTTCATAACAATAATGAAATATTTTCAAATTACTTTTTATCATGAAGAAATAAGTATATTTTTGTTACAAGACTTTATCATGATATATTGGTTATATTCAATACCTATATTAATCTAATCTAAGAATAGAATTTTCTACAAGGCCTTAAACTAGAAAAAATGATGCCAAATAAGCACCTGGTTTTGTCAGTGGTAGAAACTGTAGTGAGGAAGTGCTGTCATTGATCACGTACAAGGCTAGATCAAGGGTTTAAAGAGTTTAAAGGTGCCCCAACGTGTCTTGACTGGATTTTTTCATATAAAATAGCATCAAATAAATACAACAATTATTTATAATTTTCAAATTTATGAAATTTGAAAATGGACTTTAATACTTCATTACCAACACACAATTAATTATAGTGTCCGTGACTTATCGCATTTGTATGTTTGACTCTCAATACTTTATCCTCGTAATCTAATGTGCTCCCGATTCGCCGATGCGATAAAAATATCCGATCGATGAATGACGACACACTATTACCAATCGGTATCACTAATCTATCAACATTAAACAATATATATTTTTGAGAAATGCGATGTTATCTTAATATTGTGATATAAATAGTTTTTAAACGACACACATTTTATAATCAAAAACCGCACTCCTCAGTTCTGATTATATTAACGTAAACGACAGTTGCTTTTGTGAGGTTAATAATCATGTCACCTCGAAAATATAAATCTGGTGCTTTTAAACGAAAAATTCAGAATATTAAAAAAGAAGGGGAAGCAAAAATTCCTAAATTATCCAATTACTTTCATCCAATAGAAAATACTGAATTGGAGCCAAAAATGAATAAAGAAATTGACACAAACGCTGATGAATTATTTGACATGAACACTAATGAAGTAAATATAATTTAATTAATTTAAATTATTTGATTATGACCTATATTATGAACAATTAAAAGAAATTTTATTTAAATATTAAAACTATTTTGTATGATATAAATAGAAAATGTTGACGGAGTTTGAAATTAACAAAGATCCTGTATTGTGGTCAAAAATGAGTGAAGCTGTCCTAGAAGAATGTATAAAATTGGGACCAGAATATTTCCAAAATAAAGACAACGGGTTTTCAGCTTCCATGCGAAAATATAATAATCAAAAAAGGTATTTTTCTAGTAAACTTTTTATACGAACTTTGGTGAATGGAGAGAAACACATACGGTTATGGTTTATGTACTCTGAATCAACAGGCAACGTATTTTGCTTTGTCTGTATGTTTTTTAATGATAATAGTTCTGTGTTAAATCCTTTTGTAAAAAATGGATTTTCAAATTGGAAATAGAGCGATGAAAAAATTAGGGCTCATGAAAGCAGTTCCATTCACCAAGTATGCACAATGAAATGGCTTCATTGTTTGAATAATAAAACCAATATCAATAAAAATTTAATATAACAATTAGAAATAGAAGAAAGCTATTGGATAGATATTTTAAAACGCATTGTTGAAGTTATTCGTTTTATCTCATCACGAGGTCTTGCATTTAGAGGTAGTCATGAAGTAATTGGAGTAACGGATAATGGTAATTATTTAGGAATACTTGAGTTGCTTGCTAAATTTGATCTTGTGTTAAAAGTACATATTGAAAATTATGGTAACAAAGGCAAAGGTAATGTGTCTTACATATCAAAAACAATTTGTGAGGAACTTATTGGTATCATGTCGTTAAAAGTATATGATCACATAGTTGAAGAAATGATCAAATCAAAGTATTTTGGTATTGTCGTTGATTCAACTCCAGATCTTGCTCATATTGATCAGCTATCGATTATCATACGTTATTACTTAAATGGTGCAGTACATGAACGGTTTCTTAGTTTTGTTCCTTTTCATAGTCACACAGGTGAAGCTTTAGCTGTGACTGTTTTGGAATTTCTCAAACGAAGTGGTATTGATATTGCCAACTGTCGAGCGCAAACTTATGATAATGCTGCCAATATGCCTGGGCGATATCGTGGCTGCAAGCTCAAATTAAATAAATGAATGATTTAGCATTTTATGTCCCATGTATTGCTCATTCTTTGAATTTAGTTGGAGATTGCAGTGCAAAAGAATGTTTAGAAGCAATTAATTTTTTTTTCAATTCCCCAAAAATTATATGCATTTTTTGGAGCCTCGACGCATAGATGAGATGTATTATTAAGAAACAGTAGAAAAAATAGTAAGACATTGAAAAGCCTCTCAAGTACACGATGGTCTTGTCGTGATGATGCTGTAGAAGCATTAGCTGGTAACTATGAAGAGGTATATAACAAGTTAACTGAAATTTCTAAAGATATGGATGAAAATGCTGATACTCGTCACGAGGCTGATTCAATTAAGAAAAAGTTAATAAACTAAGAAACAGCTTTTATAACTATTTTTTGGAAACGTGTATTAGGCAGATTTAATGCAACAAGTATTTATTTACAAAGAACTGAAATTAATATGGTTACTGGTAATAGTATGCTACAATCGTTGGTAAAACGAAATTTGTTGATGAACTTCGAAATGATTTTGACTCTATTGAAGATGAAGCAAAAATATTGAGTCTCTCAGTTAGTAAAGAATGGTCTGACGGAGGACAAAATAAACGTAACATTATTCAAACATATTCAGATGGTACTATAGGTCATGAAAGTTTAAAAGGTAGAAATAAATTTAGAGTCAATACTTTTTTTGTTATTATTGATAAATTGTAAGCCGAATTAAAAAAACGTAGCTCAGCTTATGACAATATAACAAACCTCTTTGGATTTTTGACTCATTTAGATGTAATTGATGATGACTAATTGAAAAAATCTGTAAATAATTTAGTCAAAATTTACTCACGGGATTTTGAAAATAGCCTTTACGACGAATTGAAACAATTCATAGGTATAGTTCAAGTCTTGGAAAACAAAAAATTAATAAAAAACCCAATCAACATGTTAAAGTTTATTGTTGAAGATAATCTTTCGGGCGTTTTCTTACATATTTATGTTGCTTTTCGAATTTTTTTAAGTATACCAGTCACAAATTGTGAAAATAAACGATCTTTTTCTGCGCTATCAATAATTAAAAATAAATACCGTTGTATGATGGGAGAATCAAGGTTGACATCTCTATCAATACTTTCTATAGAATGTGACCTGACAATGAATATTTCATTTGAAGATGTTGTAAGAAAATTTGCGGCATTAAAATCCAGAAAAAAGTTTTTTAAAAAATGATTTGATTAAAAATGTATTTATATATATTCATTTATAAAAATAAACCGAACTTATTCTAATATATATTTATTACAAATAACTAAATCTGAAAAAAAACCTATTTTTAGTAAAAGGGCCTCACTAAAAGTAATAGCCCCCCTTATATCATAACCATAATCCGGCCCTGATCACGTACATAGAGAATGAGTTTTAAAATAGGCTAAAATGAAGACTATTTTCCTTGATCTATCATCTGGATATAATACGGTTTAGAAAAATGACCTGCTCCTAAAATTAGCAAGAGTCTTGAAGTATAAAATCATATATTAATACGCTAACACGAAACTTCTGGTACCATTAGCAACTGTAATAATTGACCGATTTTAATGATCAAGGTGGCTATGGAAAGCTGATCACTGAGAGAAGTGTTATCAGAAAAAAAAATTAATTATTTAAAAAAATAAAGGTGCTGCATAACAAAATAAAATCATCTTAAATTAATATAATATATATATATATTTTCGTCATATCGCTATTAAATGACCGCTCACCCCTCTCACCACCGCCGTAGCTGTTATCGCCTAATAATCGAGGGTCGCTGAATAATTGACGGACTTCCTCAGGTCTAAACCGGCACCTTTATTATCTCATCGCACAATTTTATTACCCCCTCATAAATTAACATTGAAAATTAATTCTATTGTACTGCTTATCAGAAATTTGAATACTGCACAAGCATTAGTTAATGGTACACGTATGCGCGTAAAATTCATGCATCGTAATACATAGAGGTGATATTAACGGACAGAAATTTGAATGTGCACAATTCTTTCCTTCCTTCTGTTTAATGTGTATACGGCAGGCAATCCAATAACATATCCAAAAAAAATGACATGAGCTTAGGTACACAGGTGTAACTCTGCCTGGAGTAGAAACTATTCTTAGCAAAGACATTACAAACTTCAAAACGCCAGTAAATCGCCAGCTATTGCTTTCCACCTTAAAAATCGCGAAGCCAGTACTAAACTATAAATTGTGGTTAACGGAATCCATATTCCTAATCATGATTCTCCTAGATGCGTAGAGGTAAACTTGAAAAAACCTTGACTTTCAAACAATACTTAAAAGCCTTTAAGATAAACTGATAATATAAAATAATGTAATTTCCAAACTGACAGAAACAAGTTAATGTAAGAAAAATACAATAAGAATTACAGCTCTGGCTATAGTTTATAGTGCAGTAGAGTACTGCGCTCTTATATGATCAAGAAGTGTGCATTGTAAGCAAATCGACACACAATTAAACCATATAATGAGAATAATCAGATACTATAAAAAGTACACAAACTGATTAGTTATCAATCTTAACACACATAGCACCAACTAACATAAAAAGACAAGCAGCAACTTGTTCCTACTACTTAAAATAAAAGTAAACCCTAACATCCCGTCACACGCAGATATTTTTCATTCACTCAGCTATAAAACTAAAATCAAGAAATCCGGTTTGAGAATATCTTGATACTAATTTGACAATAGAAAAATAGTGATTAATGAAATAGATTTTGATTAATGAAATAAACAGAAGCCAAAGTCAATAACTCAGTATTTATCAAAAGATTATATCAAGAAACTCTCATATTTTAAACTTTCGCATACGACTTGGACATCAACTAACAATAATAGAACTGAGCAGTGCAAGTGCAGTTACCTACATTATAAGTGAGAGATGACTAAGTCCCCTTTTTTGTGATTGCAAAAAACTTTAAACAATATAATAAATCTTAGAATTCTGACAATTGAGGAAATATGCTGAAAAGATGATTAGAATTCACTTACGTGGAAGTACCGCAATTCAATGGTTAACTAACTTAGATGACCTACTATAAGTTATCATTTTATCATTTTAGTTACCAAAAACTTTTCTATAGTTAATTATTTATTTGATTTGATTTATTTATTTGTTTATTTAATTGTTATTCTGATTTTATATGCCAATATAATATTCTTTTTTTTTTACAGTCGTTAGGTTGGTTAATACCAATTGGATTGGTATATCCTGGGAAATTTATATGTGCAGTGGTTTCCCGTTGCCTTCTGGGCTAGAACATGGTGTTTTCTCGCCACCGTAAAAACGCACGTATGGTTACCCATCCGTTCACTTACAGTGGTAGGCGCGGCTTAACACTAGAGTTTTTTCAAAAACTAGTGTTACCACCGCGCAACACCACGCCCCCTGACATAATATATACCAATAATTTTAATATCATTTATATCATTAGTTTTTTTCAGAAATTGTGAACTTAAATTAATTTAAAATGTGTCAGCAGTGGTATGTCCAACGTATAAACCAAGTATGCTCGGCCTATCCCGTTTTCAAAGCTAGCTCTCTTAACGTGTCCCAAAAAATGTTTTATTTTCAAACAGAGACTAGAACAGAACCTCAAAAACTACTTTATGAATATGAAATTAATTGTCGAAAACCTATGAACATGAGCAACACGATTTTACAAAAGTTTTTTTTTAATTAAGAACTTTTCTTTAACTTGGTAAACCTTATATATGTATATTTTTAACGATAATAGTTTTTATATAATAATAATAATTATAATAAAGTAACTTTTTAAAATAATTTTTTATTTTTCAAGTATTAATTATTGTTAAAATTTTGAAAAGTAGAAAATAATTATCTGTTTTTTGAATTTGGCCTTGAAGTCCAAGTAATAATAATCCCATTAAAAAAATCTTTGATAATTTACACAAAAAGTTGTCCAAATTTGACTGATTATTCTTCGTACATACACGTGTGATAAAGATATATATTCGCATTACAAAACCAACTGAGTAAATAAACAAACAAGTTACGTGAAGTAAACACATTTTTATGAAGTATTCCTCCATAACGTTATGGTGGTGTTATTATAGCGTTTTATAAGCCTAATAAATTGTACGTGAAATTTATTGCGACATAAATTCCCAGTTATTTGTTTACAATTTGTAGAAGAACCGTGTCCGCATACTCTATAGTAATTATGAAACGTCATACCATTGCAGCAAGATATTTTAAATATACAAACTGTTGTTGTACTATTGACCGTCTTTCTCTTTCTTCAAATCAGTTATGCTGTTGTTATAATGATGACCCCCCATAGGTCAATTACCAAACTAATTGTTGATTAGATTCACACTTTCTCTTAGACAACTCGAGCACTCATAAAGTTTAGGTCCACGGCTCAATACGCGTACACTAATGTTTATTTATTATTTGATATCTAATAGTTCACCGACTTGGTTTAAATTAACATTAATAGTGATTATTAACGGATAAACTGCGGTATAAAATAAGGTTTTTAATAGTTTTTTTAAAATTTTTAATTTGTCATCGTTTTATGTTGTAATATAGTAGTATATAAGCTCCGCAAATAATATTTATACTTTTACACTAAAAAAAATTAAGTAAAAACTTTTATATTACAATATCAAAATAGATAATAAAATAAAAATAATACGCATAATATAAATCGTTAATTTTTTGTGAATTGTTATTTTGAATTATAAATAAATAAAAATAAATATTTTCTATAACTTATGAGTTATATACTTTAAAAAAAAAATTTTGTTCAATTATCTCAACTCTAAAATAGAAATTAACGTAAAAATATACTCAAAGAAACATCATGGTGCTTACGCACCTGAGATTATTAAGTACCGTTATTTTAATCTTTATTGTAATTGATAAGATAGTTGCAGTAATAAACATAACTGAAAGTTATGTGACAAAACATCAAATTCCATCAGATCGACTGCATTTGACAAAAGACGTAAGTACATCAATCTTTAGCTAAGAGTTTTTATTATCATCTAGTTTATCACCAATTTGAATTACTTCTTTGGAAATATCATAAAAAACTACATGCTAACATTTTTGACAAGCAAAAAATATAGGGACGTGCCGAAAGAACTTAAAGGATCTCTTACTCAGAAATTTTATTTTTGCTATAGAATAACCAGTGCGATTACTGAATACCGTCCAATAAATCATTTCCATTGTAATTACTTGAAATTTTATCTTTTAATATCAAAGTTGAGTAATTGTGTTCATTGATTCATGACTTCGAATGATATAATGAAAAAGCTATTGTTGAAACTTAGATATGCTAGAGTAAACAAAAATTCGGTTCAATTACAAGGCCTTTTTGGCTAAATACAATCTAGTAGGTCTATTTTTATATCGGTAAAATAATTAAAATTTAAGAGAAGATAAACATTTTATATCCAGATTTCGTAATGATAAATCTATTGTATAAATAGTTTAATAAATCCTTAATTGTTCGATAACTATACGAGTTACCCTAATAGTCAATGTTTTAGAAGCTTGAATACAAGGGAAGTTTGATATGCTTTAAAAGCGTGTTTTTTAGTCTTTTAACTATATTTATTTATTACTTTTTAGTTTTTTATTACATCGCTGTCACAGTCACGAAGTATTAATTTTTCAATTATGACTATCAATAGATATAATTTCTATATTGCCAGTTAGTGTATTTATAGACTCACAACAATGTACCTTATTACCATTGATAATAAAGGCTTTATACCTGCGAATATCGTCACAAAAAATCATTTAGCTACCTATATTTGAAATCCCTTATACAGAGTGTTCAGTAAGTCAGGAAACGGGTATCTATTGTTCTCATTGTTACAAACAATGAGAACAATAGATACCCGTTTCCTGACTTACTGAACACCCTGTATATTATACATGTATACTCAAAACAATTTGAATTTTTAAATGTTTATATCTAATAATAAACAGTAAAAATTTGTTAGCTTCAATGCGAAGCTGAGAAAGTATTAATTTTACCATGTGTTTTTTTTTCTTTTGTGTCTGTTGCCACTTTTTCTCAGCTCTCACTGGACCGATTTTGATGAACAATATGTCAAAACATCACAAATCGTATCTAGTTGAAGACATTACCCTTAAAAATTAAAACAATTCCTAGTTTCCCGTAAATGGGGGAAATCTCCAAAAAAATTACATTTTTTATAATCGGTAAATTTTGTAATTTTTCAATTTTTTTTTTTTAAATTACCATAACTTTTTCAAAAATTAACAAATTAACCTAATTTATTTTTATATTAAAACCTTTGATATTTTCTTTTCATTTTATATCATCTTTTTTGAAAATCTAACACTTAACCTGCTCACAGGGAAGAATTTAAAATAGCAACATTTTACAAAAACTAGCTTCTTTAACTTAACTTTTGAAAATGTTCCGAAAATATTGACACTTTTACTTAATCTTAAATTAAAGCATATATTATTATTTAGAATAAAGTCCATAAGACTTAAACTTATTTAAATTTTTATTACTTTTTTAAAGTCCAAAAAGTAACTTTAAAATTTGAATTAGCTTAAATTACTAATTTTATTACATAGTGAAAGCGACGAACAGTTGCCGAATCGATAACACTTGTGTCCTTCACGGATATGGTACCAGGTTCAAATCCGTCTGTGACAAGTAACATTTTGCAATTTTCATTTTTTAGAAAAAATGTTGAAATCATTTGATTTTTATCTCATTTAGATTTATTAACTTCAATAAATATCAAGAATCTCATCATTGTCGTCTCCCCTCGTGAGAAGATATTTCTTATTCATATAAATATTATTTTACTATGTGTTTTTTTTTTTTGTGGCTGCGATTTATTTTTCCTACCCTCACTTAACCTACTTTTTCAACGATATGTCAAATGATTAAAATACGTGTTTAATTGAAGATATTACCCTCAAAAATTGAAAAAAAATCCCTTAATCAAATGAAAAGTAGCTTAAACAGCTTTATCCATACAAACAATTAAAATAATTTATTTCTAATATTTTTAAAATATTATTGTCGAATTAGATTTGATATGATAAAAGTATTCAACTACAAGAGTAAATAATTTTACTAATTTATTAATTTCAGCTTCGATGCGAAGCTGAGAAGGTATTGGTTTTACTAAGATGTGTTTTTTTTTTTTTTTTTTTTTTTTTTTTTTTTC